CTTCTTTTTATCTTCTAGTGTAAGGTTTGGTCAACATTACACACTAATATGAGATCTTTATGATCCATGGTTAACATTTATGATTTAATAAGGATAATACTGGTAATAATAACAATACAAGCTATAATTTAAAACTTTAATTACTGATTTCATTTTATTAACAAGCTTAGGTATACACAGCAATGTGCTGCTACCGTATTCTATATGAAAGATTACAGTGTAGATCATAAACCAGCTACAAGCTCCTCCAACATCCCCACCTCACAGGACGGCCAGTCATACATGGAAACAGGAGAGAACAAAAATGTTAGACTGATCTATTAGCCTCCACTGGCAAAATCTGGGTACAGCACAAGAATATCTTCCAATATTCCTGAGTGTATGAAGTAATTACAGAGCTTAAAGTGCCTCATACCATTTGGTATGAAGTCACTGATAACAGAGCAATCACAGGTTTAGTGTTGGAGAGTATGTCCTCTCAAGTAGGATTGAAAACAGATATTTTTTCACTCTCATTCTAGCTGTTCCTCTTCCCCTCTCCTTCCATGTCCTCTCTCCCAGAGGGTTATAAACCCATGGAACCGCCTATCCGCTGGAGCCGTAAATGTAAAAATCCAGCTAGAAAATATCATTAAGACAATTGGCGGGACTTAACAAGCCCCTGGCTTTTTGTCCTCGTCGAGGCCACTAGATAGTTAGTGGCCCTTGGGTAAATTTAGGTAAATATACAGAAATAAACACCATCGTTTATCAAATCTTGGGAGCGACAAGGGGAGTTATACACTATCTCTTAGAATTATGTAAGTAAACAAAAAATGTAACATATTTGTATACTACTGTACAAGTTGAAAAAACATTGTTTTACTTCGAAATATACTAATTTTATAAGAAAATTCGAAGTAAATATGTCGCAAGTGCATCACGGATAAGCTCCGATATACCAGCGTCGTGATTGGCTACAGCTGTAAGATGAAAAATGTTACCTTCTCTCTGATTACCCAAACTAAAAGCCCTAGTGACATCTGGCGAGACCTAAGTGAACAACTTAAAAATCTTCGTAAGTATAATTTTCTGAATCGCCCTCTGGCGCGTTCTTAGCCGGTACTTTGGAACCTTCGTAGCACACATACTTACGAAGAAATACACGGAGCTTCGTGAATCTAGGTGCAGGTCCAGCAGACCGAGGGAGGGAAGGGGAGGTGGGAGGGGGAGGGAGGAGATGTGGGAGGGGGAGGTGGGAGGGGGAGGGAGGAGATGTGGGAGGGGGAGGTGGGAGGGGGAGGGAGGAGATGTGGGAGGGGGAGGGAGGAGATGTGGGTGAGGGAGTGGGGAGGAGAGGTGGGAGGGGGAGGGAGGAGATGTGGGTGGGGGAGGGTGCTGCTTCAAGGGACAGACTGGCAAGTTACATATTCAGATAACTAGTAATGTAATGTGTGAATGTTTTGTGATGGCATTTTTGCTCGTGGATGTAACTGATTGCTGGTTACTGTTAAGTAACCTTTTACTTGTGGTAAAGAGATAAACTGGACAAAATGGCAGTTATGAAGAGTTAGCAACAAAAGGAAGCAGAGAGTCACTGCTGGTCCTCTGGTCAAGTATAAATGGCAGTGGCAGTGTGGACTCTGGGTGGCCGGGTCGTGACTCTGGGTGGCCGGGTCGTGACTCTGGGTGGCCGGGTCGTGACTCTGGGTGGCCGGGTCGTGACTCTGGGTGGACGGGTCGTGACTCTGGGTGGACGGGTCGTGACTCTGGGTGGACGGGTCGTGACTCTGGGTGGACGGGTCGTGACTCTGGGTGGCCGGGTCGTGACTCTGGGTGGACGGGTCGTGACTCTGGGTGGCCGGGTCGTGACTCTGGGTGGACGGGTCGTGACTCTGGGTGGACGGGTCGTGACTCTGGGTGGCCGGGTCGTGACTCTGGGTGGACGGGTCGTGACTCTGGGTGGACGGGTCGTGACTCTGGGTGGCCGGGTCGTGACTCTGGGTGGACGGGTCGTGACTCTGGGTGGCCGGGTCGTGACTCTGGGTGGACGGGTCGTGTTGATCACTGGGTGGACGGGTCGTGACTCTGGGTGGACGGGTCGTGACTCTGGGTGGCCGGGTCGTGACTCTGGGTGGACGGGTCGTGACTCTGGGTGGACGGGTCGTGACTCTGGGTGGACGGGTCGTGACTCTGGGTGGACGGGTCGTGACTCTGGGTGAACGGGTCGTGACTCTGGGTGGTCGGGTCGTGACTCTGGGTGGTCGGGTCGTGACACTGGGTGGACGGGTCGTGACTCTGGGTGGACGGGTCGTGTTGATCACTGGGTGGACGGGTCGTGACTCTGGGTGGACGGGTCGTGACTCTGGGTGGACGGGTCGTGACTCTGGGTGGACGGGTCGTGACTCTGGGTGGACGGGTCGTGACTCTGGGTGGTCGGGTCGTGACTCTGGGTGGTCGGGTCGTGACACTGGGTGGACGGGTCGTGACTCTGGGTGGACGGGTCGTGTTGATCACTGGGTGGACGGGTCGTGACTCTGGGTGGACGGGTCGTGACTCTGGGTGGCCGGGTCGTGACTCTGGGTGGACGGGTCGTGACTCTGGGTGGACGGGTCGTGACTCTGGGTGGACGGGTCGTGACTCTGGGTGGACGGGTCGTGACTCTGGGTGAACGGGTCGTGACTCTGGGTGGTCGGGTCGTGACTCTGGGTGGTCGGGTCGTGACACTGGGTGGACGGGTCGTGACTCTGGGTGGACGGGTCGTGTTGATCACTGGGTGGACGGGTCGTGACTCTGGGTGGACGGGTCGTGACTCTGGGGTGCCGGGTCGCTACTCTGGGTGGACGGGTCGTGACTCTGGGTGGACGGGTCGTGTTGATCACTGGGTGGACGGGTCGTGACTCTGGGTGGACGGGTCGTGTTGATCACTGGGTGGACGGGTCGTGACTCTGGGTGGACGGGTCGTGTTGATCACTGGGTGGACGGGTCGTGACTCTGGGTGGACGGGTCGTGTTGATCACTGGGTGGACGGGTCGTGACTCTGGGTGGACGGGTCGTGTTGATCACTGGGTGGACGGGTCGTGTTGATCACTGGGTGGACGGGTCGTGTTGATCACTGGGTGGACGGGTCGTGACTCTGGGTGGACGGGTCGTGTTGATCACTGGGTGGACGGGTCGTATTGATCACTGGGTGGACGGGTCGTGACTCTGGGTGGACGGGTCGTGTTGATCACTGGGTGGACGGGTCGTGACTCTAGGTGGCCGGGTCGTGACTCTGGGTGGACGGGTCGTGACTCTGGGTGGACGGGTCGTGTTGATCACTGGGTGGACGGGTCGTGACTCTGGGTGGACGGGTCGTGTTGATCACTGGGTGGACGGGTCGTGACTCTGGGTGGACGGGTCGTGACTCTGGGTGGACGGGTCGTGACTCTGGGTGGACGGGTCGTGTTGATCACTGGGTGGACGGGTCGTGACTCTGGGTGGACGGGTCGTGACTCTGGGTGGACGGGTCGTGACTCTGGGTGGACGGGTCGTGACTCTGGGTGGACGGGTCGTGTTGATCACTGGGTGGACGGGTCGTGACTCTGGGTGGACGGGTCGTGTTGATCACTGGGTGGACGGGTCGTGACTCTGGGTGGACGGGTCGTGTTGATCACTGGGTGGACGGGTCGTGTTGATCACTGGGTGGACGGGTCGTGTTGATCACTGGGTGGACGGGTCGTGTTGATCACTGGGTGGACGGGTCGTGTTGATCACTGGGTGGACGGGTCGTGTTGATCACTGGGTGGACGGGTCGTGTTGATCACTGGGTGGACGGGTCGTGTTGATCACTGGGTGGACGGGTCGTGTTGATCACTGGGTGGACGGGTCGTGTTGATCACTGGGTGGACGGGTCGTGTTGATCACTGGGTGGACGGGTCGTGTTGATCACTGGGTGGCCGGGTCGTGTTGATCACTCGTCTCTAGTTAAGGACGGGGGGGGGGGAGTGTTTTCCCTCCCTGCTGTCCCACTTTCCTCTGTCTCAATCTTCCTTTTTTCTCATTTCTCTCTTCGTATCCCCACTCTCTTTCCTTCTCCCTCACTAAAGCTTTCTCCTCCCAAAATCTCCCCCTCTGCCACTCTCATTCTAGCTGTTCCTCTTCACCTCTCCTTCCATGTCCTCCCTCTCACCCTCTCTCCACCTTACTTCCCCTCACATTGCCTTATACATCTCTCCCCTCTCCACTCTTTCCCAGTTTCCTTCCTCTCTCACCCGGCTCCTCTCCATATGACTATCACGGGGATCACCAAAAGTGGCACCCGAGGCAAGGCCTCAAGTTCCACTTGAGCAACAGACACAGGTGGAGTCCTTCCCTATTAAGGCGTGCTGGTGGAGCAGTAGGTACAGCTCTTGGCTCTACCTACGGCTCTTAAATTAATGTGGTCGGCACTTCCTGGCTGCAATTATCCAGCTGAGTGAAATATTATTATCCACGATATGGTTTAGCAGTGTGTGTATATATATATATATATATATATATATATATATATATATATATATATATATATATATATATATATATATATTGCTAAATATAATATAAAGTTATTATGAAGTTTATGTTATGAATTAATAATATATAAGTTCAGTGACCGCAGCTCACTACTATACACAGTAAACAGAAAACGCCATTCCCCTGACTGATCCCGTATTACCTTATAATATTACCTTATAATGAACAAATCCACAGGGGCCGTGATGAGGGTTCGAACTTTCGCCTGGGATGATCCCAGACGCTGCCTTATTCGACCTAAGATCATCCTGGGCGTAAGTTCGAATCCTCGTCACGGCCCTTGTGGATTTGTTCCTTTGATGCATCACGCTATTGTGATTTCTGTGGGTATTCCCTTATTATATTATAAGGTCGTATCCCCTTATAATATTCCATATTCGTTATCCTTTTATTCTTTCACTTTCACAAGCCAGTCCTTAATATTATGGTGAATGAGGAGGTGGAGTAAGGCTAGAGTGATCACTCACCTGCTGCGTTGACGTCCCAGGTGACGACCCTGGCGCCCCTGGCGGCCAGCTTGAGGCAGACCAGGCGGCCGATGCCGGAGCCGCCGCCCGTCACCAGCGCCACCTGGCCCTTCACATCCTTCCTGCGGAACTTCCTGGGCACCAGAGAGATGACCAGCGACTCCAGGGCGTAGTACACGGAGGCCAGCAGAGCCCCGATAACCCCCACCACCAGCATTACGCCGTCTAGGAAAGACATGGCGCCGCCTCACCACCCTGAGCCTGGCGGGAGTCCCGTCGTCGGCGTGATCTCGTTTTGAGCTCCTGGCCAGGACACTGTCACAGAGGCGGGTGCTGGCTGGTGCTGGCTGATGCTGCTGGTGGCTGCTGGCGGCTGCTGGCGGCTGCTGTGATCCTTGGGCCCGGCTGCTCCTCCACTGGCTCGCGTCTCTCCTCCGCCTGCCAAACACACAAGAACAATGGCGTAGTAACCACAAATTACCAGAATGCAAACGTTATTTTCTCTACAGTTGGGTGACTGAACCTGAAGTTGTGGGAGCGTCTGTGGTGTGACCTCTGACCTCCACCCACACTACACACCAGCTGTAACAACATTTGTTAGGGTTACCCTTATATCATTAAACGCAACTCTTGAAGGTTCCCGGCAGACTAACAGTATGTTGCACTTTCCTGTTGCAAAGTTGCATCACTTGCGTCAGGGAGGGGACCCAGGCATGCGTAGGCTAGCAAGTTGCAGGACGTCGTCACCGTGACGGCCGGTGTGTCAAGGACACCCTCATGCACACGCTACTTTCCTCATCCATGACCTGCAATATTTGCAGTACAACACTCACAATTATTTCAGAATCATTCACTACCAATACATATATATATATATATATATATATATATATATATATATATATATATATATATATATATATATATATATATGTCGTACCTAGTAGCCAGAACGTACTTCTTTGCCTACTATGCAAGGCCTGATTTGCCTAATAAGCCAAGTTTTCATGATTTTATTGTTTTTCGACTACCTAACCTACCTAACCTAACCTAACCTAACTTTTTCGGCTACCTAACCTAACCTAACCTATAAAGATAGGTTAGGTTAGGTTAGGTAGGGTTGGTTAGGTTCGGTCATATATCTATGTTAATTTTAACTCCAATAAAAAAAAATTGACCTCATACATAATGAAATGGGTAGCTTTATCATTTCATAAGAAAAAAATTAGAGATAATATATTAATTCAGGAAAACTTGGCTTATTAGGCAAATCGGGCCTTGCATAGTAGGCCGAGAAGTGCGTTCTGGCTACTAGGTACGACATATATATATATATATATATATATATATATATATATATATATATATATATATATATATATATATATATAATGGGGGTGGTAGGAGAGTAAAAGATTAAAGTGTTTGCTGAGAATCCACAGGGTCTTCTCTGAATACCCTTTATTTTCTTCTTCGAGGCTGTGGGTCCCTACAATTGCACCACAGGTGGTACCCTTATACCCTTATATATATATATATATATATATATATATATATATATATATATATATATATATATATATATTATTTAGTGTTGGCTCTCGTGGAGGTCGGCGTAGACTGTGACCCAAGCTTGTCTCAACTCTTGCCTCTCAACGCCAGCATGTGACGTTGCAATATGTTTAGTAATATTTTAATTTTACGCTATTTATACAAAAGTGTGTGTACACACACACACCACACCACACACACACACACACACACACACACACACACACACACACACACACACACACACTCTCAAACATCTATGTATATACGATATATGTAGGTCTACACACACACGTGTATGTAGGTGTGTACACATACCTGTGTATGTGGACATATGGGGCTCGATCACAAGTAAAATTCCCCGCACTTTCCAGCCTATTCCCCTGAAGCCTACTTTATATGGTTCCCCATCGCTAGGAGTAGGAGGCCTGGGAGGCTTATGGAGATCCCTCTGAGGGCCTAAGCCACCGACTGGTCTGCCACAGGGTCCAACCGTAACAGTCTACTGCTATATAGCCATACTGGCTTAGCGCTCTCTCTTTATAATCCCTTATGCCTAGAGCGGAGTACCTCCCGGGTGCCCACTTACCGCTCACTGAAGAGAGACACCGGAAGCAGATCACAGCAAGGTTAGACATTTATGGAGAGAAAGCGCTGATTCATTATGGCTACGTAGCAGTAGACTGTTGTGGTTTGTAGGGGATATAGAAAATGTAATAGTGACCATAAAATGCAATTAAGCTTAGCATTGTAGCGTAGGAGAGAATATTGCCAATATTACCTTGGTCTCGATACCACGTATTGGGTTCGAACGCCATAAAAAAAACTAATACACAAAACGATTTAAAATTACCAGGGAGGCCTGGTTGGGAATCGGGCCGCAGGGATGATGAGCCCCGAAATCAGGATAAGGTAAGATTATGGGGACCTATTGCTCTGTTCATACCATTATGGTGACCAATTGTTCTGGACGTAACATTATGGGGATTATCTTGAGGTTATCTTGAGATGATTTCGGGGCTTTAGTGTCCCCGCGGCCCGGTCCTCTACCATCAGGACAGCCCTGATGTCTTACGCCACAACGCGTACACTAGACATCGCGCGGCCGTCCGCCGCTCACAGGAGTATTGTCGGTGCTCAGGGTCACCGGCACAAGGACTAAAGATAATGTTGCCGCGATCATAGATCAGACCAGAAGGCATGGCAGGATGTGCAGAATACCCCCGTTGAAAAGCAGAGGTGCAACAGGTACTCTGAGAGAGAACTCTATCAACACCAGAGGCCCGAGACTGTTCAACACGCTTCCACTACACATAAGGGACATAACTGGCCGACCCCTCACAGTGTTCAAGAGAGAACTGGATAAGCACCTCCAAAGGATACCTGATCAACCAGGCTGTGACTCATACGTCAGGCTGCGAGCAGCCGCGTCTAACAGCCTGGTTGATCAGTCCAGCAACCAGGAGGCCTGGTCGACGACTGGGCCGCGGGGACGCTAAGCCCCGGAAGCACCTCAAGGTAACCTCAAGGTAAGGTATCACCGCTGGAATGAATAACGCAGCAATTGGCTTATGGGTACAAGTAGGCAGGCAGCCTCCACACACCATGTGTGCTCGGCATTCTTGTCTCCAAGTAGACTAGTCGACAGTGCGCGCACTTAGTAATGCCGGAGACATCAGTACTTATTACATTTATAATTCATTGTGCTGGGTGACAGGAAGCCAGAGTGTATTCATACACGTATGGCGTTTATCGAGGTCTCCCCCCTCCCCAAGGTCGAATTACTGACACCGCCCAGGATGCCACCCCACAACGGCTGGCTAATTCCTGAGTACCTACTCACTTCTAGGTAAACAGAGGCATTAGGTGAAATTAAATGTGCCCAACCGTTTTTTTTATGAAAGCATCAGCTTTCTGTCCCGCCCGGGATTCGAACCCGGAAATCTCGATTATATATACTGCGACTTTAGGCAGAGAGAGAGCAAGCGATGATTATAAGAGAAGTTATATTACTCCCTTATATAATGATCTTAATTTATACAATCAAAGAGCCATTAACACACTCCTCCACGCACCGCCATTCATCACCACTCACACGGAATATTTTACACATGCAACACTGCCTCAACCAACACCAAAATTCAGGTTACTTACAGCATAAAGGTTTCAATATCACAGCACATTAGCTCACCAACATGAGAGCAATGTTACGCACCAACCTGCACCACCACGAGAGTGTGTGGTCACGCTGCCTCTAGTGGGGGGGTCTTCAGCCCCAGCACCCTCCCTCCCTCACTCCAGCCCCACCTTCCCTCTACTCCCAGCACCACCACTCCCAGCCCCACCTTCCCTCTGCTCCCAGCACCACCACCCCCAGCCCCACCTTCCCTCTGCTCCCAGCACCCTCTACAGCACCACCACTCCCAGCCCCACCTTCCCTCTGCTCCCAGCACCCTCTACAGCACCACCACTCCCAGCCCCACCTTCCCTCTGCTCCCAGCACCCTCTACAGCACCACCACCCCCAGCCCCACCTTCCCTCTGCTCCCAGCACACTCTACAGCACCACTACTCCCAGCCCCACCTTCCCTCTGCTCCCAGCACCCTCTACAGCACCACCACCCCCAGCCCCACCTTCCCTCTGCTCCCAGCACCCTCTACAGCACCACCACTCCCAGCCCCACCTTCCCTCTGCTCCCAGCACCCTCTACAGCACCACCACTCTCAGCCCCACCTTCCCTCTGCTCCCAGCACCCTCTACAGCACCACCACCCCCAGCCCCACCTTCCCTCTGCTCCCAGCACCCTCTACAGCACCACCACTCCCAGCCCCACCTTCCCTCTGCTCCCAGCACCCTCTACAGCACCACCACCCCCAGCCCCACCTTCCCTCTGCTCCCAGCACCCTCTACAGCACCACCACTCCCAGCCCCACCTTCCCTCTGCTCCCAGCACCCTCTACAGCACCACCACACCCAGCCCCACCTTCCCTCTGCTCCCAGCACCCTCTACAGCACCACCACTCCCAGCCCCACCTTCCCTCTGCTCCCAGCACCCTCTACAGCACCACCACCCCCAGCCCCACCTTCCCTCTGCTCCCAGCACCCTCTACAGCACCACCACTCTCAGCCCCACCTTCCCTCTGCTCCCAGCACCCTCTACAGCACCACCACTCCCAGCCCCACCTTCCCTCTGCTCCCAGCACCCTCTACAGCACCACCACCCCCAGCCCTGGTCCATAATAAACACGTTTGCTTGGTCAGATGTTTTTGCTACTTGTTTCCCATACACAATTAGTTGTTTTGTATCTGCTACTGGTTACTAGGAATCTGATTTTGGTTGCTTGGAATGGGAATCTCCCTGACCAGGATACGAACCCAGGTCATGGTTGCTTGGAAACTGTTGCTTGCTTTTATGTACGTCATGAGTTCTCAAGATTATTCTAATAGAAAAACTGGATATTCAGTATTTGTGTTCAACATCTGCTACAGCTTGTTCAACATCTGCTACAGCTTGTTCAACATCTGCTACAGCTTGTTCAGCATCTGCTACAGCTTGTTCAACATCTGCTACAGCTTGTTCAACATCTGCTACAGCTTGTTCAACATCTGCTACAGCTTGTTCAACATCTGCTACAGCTTGTTCAGCATCTGCTACAGCTTGTTCAACATCTGCTACAGCTTGTTCAACATCTGCTACAGCTTGTTCAACATCTACTACAGCTTGTTCAACATCTGCTACAGCTTGTTCAGCATCTGCTACAGCTTGTTCAACATCTGCTACAGCTTGTTCAGCATCTGCTACAGTTTGTTCAGCATCTGCTACAGCTTGTTCAGCATCTGCTACAGCTGCTACAGCTTGTTCAGCATCTGCTACAGCTTGTTCAGCA